GAAAGCAAGTGTAGAAATTAGGTTTTTTCATCAAAATTGAGAAATAAACACCAGAAATCAAAACATAACAAATCAATTATAAGTCTTTGTGCGGAGAAACAAATAATTGACCGGAAGAAGGAGAGCCCTAAGGTGAAATGCAATAAATATGAAGAAAGAAAATGAGACGAAATAGATAAGTGTGTGCGGTTGTGATCATAAGATGAAAGGGATTATAGGTTACACAATGATGAATCAAAGAGATAAGATTATGGATTGTTTGCGCATAGAGACATGGGAAAAGAAATTGTATATGGATTCGAAGTCGTAGAAGGGAGAATCGATTGAATCGTTGTGAAAAAATATGTACGCATCATTGAAATTAGTGGAATAATCTATCTTGTATATCTTTCAGAACCATTGATCTTCATATCTATAAATTGAAAAGAAAACAATGAATGTGTTTGTGATTTTCAAACCAGAACAAAAGAAACGGGTAATGAAGGGTGGGGCGGTATATTATTTTATTTTATTTTTGTGAGAATTAGTTGTCACTAATACATTTCTTAATTTTAAAAGTAATTTTATTTTTGGTGAGATTTAATTATCATTAATAGATTTTCTAATCTTAAAAGTAATTGTCACTAAAGATTTCATAAAATTGGTGGACAAAAAAAAGAGGTTGACCAAATAATGATGTCAACGTAACAATCTAAATGTGGAAAATATAGAAATGAAACACAATCAATGATCCTAATTATTGAAGGTGATATCAGAAGGTTTCTCTTTTAACAATATTTATAAATGGTTTATTAGAGACTTTGGAGTTTGAGGGTTTGAGTTTTTTGTGCCAAAATATATGGGAAATAAAATAATAAAAAAAACTAGGCCCGTTATGTAGGTAAAAAATAAGTTGGTGTGTATAAAAAAATGATCAGCTTTATTAATTAATAAATTATTAAGTATATTAAGTAATTTGGTTTAGGTGGGCTATATAAATAGAAACGAGAGAAGCTAGCTTATTAATATGAATTTGAGTTGTTGATGGGAGTACCATTAGAGATATCTTCGAAATACAAGGTTCACTTTAGTACGCTTATAAAAGATATAAGGCTAGATGGAGGGAGTGGTGTCACTGAAACCACATTCCTTTCATTGCCACATAAACGGCACATCATTTTTACCACAAAAGTGTGGTTTCTTGACACACCCAAGGAATTGTGTCGCACTTTATTTTTTATTTTTTAAAATAATTTAAATAAAAACATTATTTTTCTCTCCACCCACTCATAAAATTATCAAATTCTCCTCAACCAGTCACAAATCACGACCATTTTTTACCACACCGTGGTCTAAACCGCACCCAAACCGCAGTCAGGGGACGGTGTTTCCCTGCCTATGTGGCAAAAAGTACGGTAAAGACTGCACTACTCCCCACAGCCTAAGATGATAAGTTAACTTCTATAAGTGAATGAGTGATAGAAAGATATAACATAATGTCATAACGATGGGACATGGATTCCGCAGAGGTAAGCTCTGAGGGATCCACGGAATCCACTGTAGTTCTGCAGACTGATAAAATCGTAATTAAATCAGAGGTATTTATGGAGAAAAAAAAACTCAATGAACAATTCCACTGAGGTGCCCCTGCAAACCTCGTTAGCAGCTCTGCGGAACTATTCATCGAATTTTTTTTCATAAATACCCAGATTAAGATCAGATGATTATAATGAGATTATTCACTCTTTTGGTATAATGATGAGGATTGTAATAATTATTACTCATACGATTAACCAGGGGTATTTATGAGGAAAATAATCTCGATGAACTGTTTCACAAAACTGCTAACGACACCCGTTGAGGCACCTCCGTGGAACTATTCATCTGGTTTTTTTTCGTACATACCCCTGATTTAATTACGATTTTGCCATTCCATAGAGCTACAGTGGATTCCGCGAATCCCTCTGAGCTCTTACCTCCGAGGAATCCATGTCTATACCTGAAAATCTGATTTTTTGTGTCTATTTTTTGGAATTCAACCCAAAAAAATGTTTGTAGCTGATATTTTTTCTAAAATGTCAATATCAAATAATCAAAATTTTCTTAATTTTTCTTAAATTATAGAATAATAGTCACATAAAAAGAAAAAACCTGGAAACATGTTATTACATGTCAAAGTGATCAAATTAGAAAGAAAAAAAAAAGTTATTGTGATCTTCAAATGACAATTCAAAAGTAGACTACATTAGTATTTCTCACAATATACTCATACATCGATCAACATATCCATCTTAATTTTGCAATCTTAATTTGGTGTTTGATTATTTGAATTTTGTTATGTTAAGATAAAGATAACAAAGCTGCTGTTAAATTTTTAATTGATTTTGAAATAAAAGTAGAATTAACCATATGCAACTTAAATAACTGTTACAAATAACTATTAGAATTGCCCTATTCAAATGCTAACTTTATACAGTCCCATTTGTAGTTGTTTATCCAAATCAACATCTCTCATACCTGTATCTTCTTCCTCTTCACTCTCTTCATCTCCCTCAACTTCTTCATTGGCTCTCCTTAACTTAGCCATACGTTCAGCAAGTAATATATCCTCACGCTAGCCATAATTGTGGAGGACTTTGATGGGAATCGCTAGCTTTCTCAAAGGAATGGCTCAGAATCCCTTTAATGGGAATCGCTATTTTTTTCCTTGCCGTGTCAAAATCTCTTAACCAAAGTCATTTATCTAGTGCCAACTTTTGTGTGAGGATCAGGTTATAGACCTTGTAAGTTGAAACACTCAATGGGTTTAAAGAGCTTTTTTTAATGTATCATGTCAATATATTTACTTAAAATGGTTGAGATCTTTAATCAAAATCATTTATTTGGTGTCTGTGTTAATGAGACATCTGAGTTTTTATAAGCTCTAAATTTTGTAAGGACAAGACTTGACCGAACAAAATATATATGGGTTTTGTTATGTAATGTATAAAGAAAAAGAAATGAGGTTTTCCCACTAAGGGCTCAAAAACCAAGCTTGAAAAACCTTCAAAATTTAGAATTGTGTAGAATTGTGGGCTTGTATGAGGCCCAAGCCCAATAGCCCAAAACAAAGGTAGGTCCGTCATCAGAATACACTGGTATGGTGTGGTAAGTTGCCATCATCATCATCAACCTTCTTTAGGTTCAGGAGGAAATCGTAAGGTCAAATTCAGAACCAATGGCGTCCGGCTGGGGGATAACAGGGAACAAAGGGAGGTGTTATGATTTCTGGATGGATTTCAGCGAGTGTATGTCTCGTTGCAGAGAACCCAAGGACTGCTCTCTTCTCCGTGAAGACTATCTCGAGTGTCTTCACCACTCCAAAGAGGTACGATCTACTTGAATATAATCGAATCGAAATGAACCCCCCACTATATCTTTAAATTTGTAATTGTATCTTCACATTTAATTGGCTAATACTAAGATCGGTGTACCATTGACACTGTAATGAACTGCTTTCTCTAAGATGTCCTAAACCCTAATTGATGATTTCACTACGAGATATCTGTAATTGGTTTGGGATTTTTTATGCGATTTGCTACCTTCCTATTTGCTGCTACTAGTTGATCGCCCTAGTTCATTACCGATGCCCAATCTTAAGAGTTTTACCGGTTAAACCAATATCTGGTGGTGAATTTGATGTCCCATGGATGACTTCTTCGGGCTCTAGTGTCATAGGGAAACTAGGCTCAATAAATATGACCAGATTATGCTTGCTTATGCTGATGTGTTAATGTGTATACATCGGATGGCTAAACAATAAGCAAATATCTTACATTTGCAGTTCAATTTAATATAAACCCATCATTTTTTCTATATGTCGTAGTTATCAAGATTCTTCATGAAGCTGAGTAGTATCAAACTTGACCTTTAAAGTTGAATGTATCTCTACTTTGTTAAAACACAGGACCAATCTTTGAACTTTGTTGCATCACTGTGGCATAACTCTGTGCATATAATTCTGTAGTAATAAGTTCTGGTGTAGTGGTGTTTGATAATGTGTATAAGGATCATGATTTTGTTTTGAGATAGTTTGGGATCCAATCCCTTGACCAGATCACATTGATGTTTAATTGAAACTGTAATATGTAGTAGACTAGTAGTTCAGACCTACCAATTTGCCTTTCTATCTTCTTATGATCTTAATATAATTTCATCGAAAAGTTACAGCTCATCAAACATTCAACAGCTTAATAATGCTACAACATGCACTAGATACATTATTACTGTGTCAAATTTCAGAAGGAAATGTAAATAACATTCAATATTATTCCTATTTCAAAGCTATAAAGTATTGGAAATTCCAGAAAGCTCCTAAAAGTTATACAATGAGGCTGAAAGTTAATTGAGTTAGACAAGATATCGAATGATCTTTGGGAAAGAAGTCCTTAAAGACAGAAAGAATGGAATAAAAGTTAAAAACCACACAAGATCTGTGCATTTTTTTTATATATATTAAACTGGTGAAATCGAAATTTTGTTGATGACTAAAATCATGAAACCCTAATTTGACAGTTTCAACGAAGAAATCGGATATACAAAGAGGAACAACGCCAGATAAGAGCTGCTGCACAGAAGGCAAAAGGTGGAGTTGGAGATGGAGATGGAGTTCCTCATCACTAAAACTTTCCTTCTTCTTTCTGCGTGCTTTTTAAATAATATGATTGAAGTCTGCAATCTATATTTTTTCCCTTAAAAAATTTGGTGGGATTTTATCCCCCTTTTTGTTGTTCCAAAATGATTGACTTCTCAAACACATTATCCCATAATCTTGATCATAGACCCCTTATTTGTTGTTTTTCATTTGGTGCACTTGGACGGTTTATATATTTGTGGGTTTTGTTTTTTAACTTATTATTATTATTATTATTATTATTATTATTAATCTCAGAGTTGAGCTCACTGCGTGTATAGAAAAATGAGCAGTTAGAAGATGCTCATTTTCTCATTGACTTGTTTACATTGAAGTGACATAGCATAGCATGATTACATTTGTTTATTTGGGCATTCCCCTTGTCTTAAAACATGTTAGGTAATCATCACCATCCTTATAAACCCACTTTCATCAAATGAACCTCATCATCTTCTCTCTCAACAACTGCATGCTTTGTTCATATCTTTCCAGAAATCATCATCATCATCATGTCAAGCCTAGAAACACCCATTGGTGGCTGATCTTGTTTCTGTTATTTGGCACTATTGATCACTTGGTATCTAGTTCAAGCATTCCAACACACTCAAACTTCTTTCGAGCTGTGTCTAGGGGAAGACAAAGAGCATTGGTTTTAGGGTGTGGAAGTGACCCGAATTTCTGTTCCAATCCTGAAAACAATCCATGGGGAGGTTCAGTGTGTTGTTTTGGGAAGTTTTGTAAGGATGTTAAGTCTGATGGCAACCATTGTGGAGTTTGTGGACATGTTTGTGGGTATGAACTTGTTTGTTGTGATGGGGAATGTGTAGATGTTAGAAATGATAATCGGCATTGTGGTGGTTGCTTTGAGGAGTGCCTTGGACAAGGTAGGTGCTCCTATGCCATGTGTGATTATGGTTGATCGTTGAATAAAATTTTATATATTTTCTGTTGTATTCTTCCATCCTTTTTATGGTTGGTAATAAAACTTCACAAATTGGTTGCGTGAAGCCGTGAATGGCTTGTGTTATAATTTTGGAACTGTAAAAAATTGGGTCTTAACAAATTTTAGCCTATCGTTATAAATGATTAATGCGTAAATGATGGTTACAAGATTTTAGAAAGCTTAATAAGCTTGTTGAAATTCTAGTATGATTATCTTTTTTTTTTTTTAAATATAACTTATAAACTACTTTTTGTTTTTCCAAACATGTCAACCTAAAATCTTGGAAAATAATCTAGTTATAATATGCCAAACAAAACCTAAACTATATTCAAAAAGCAATACAACATCGTACCTAAGAACTGGACGTGAAAGTAATCACATAATTTATTCATCGCAGCAACATAATCCACTTACACAAGCTTTATCCGGTTTGCAAATTCGAATAAAACCTCTATAATGGTAACTAATAAATCTCTAAGTAACCTTCCTGAACAACCTATAAAGAAATGAAAAAATAAATAAATAAATAATAAACGAAAATTTGATAAAGTCGAAAATGATATAAAACAATTTACATGTGCCGATTGCATAAGTTGAAACAATGGAATCAAGCATCAATACAAGGAAAAACAACAAATCTACAAAATATCTTCTATTGCTAATTCTTTTAATCACATAGTATACCACATGAAATACGTAATTTTGTAACGGGAAAATTCACAATGGATATGGGGATGAGATGCAATTATAGAAGAAAAATAGTTTTATGATTTCATTTATTCCCAAGAACGAATCCAGTTAAAACTACAATATATCAACCAACAAATCATAGGTGTTAAGAATTGCTATCTCAACCGAAGGGTTGTTTGATGTTGGAAAAAAGTAGCTACGAATATATTATTTGTACAAATATCCACGTATATCCTATGACATTGTTGCTAGACACACCACCAAATGACAATTCATTGGTTTTAAGAATTACTATCTCAATTGAAGGGTTGTTTGATGTTGGAGAAAAGTAGCCACGAATATATTATCTGTACATATATCCACACATAGCCTATGACATTGTTGGTAGACACACCAAGGGATCAAAATTTTCTCTTTCTCTTTCTCTTAGCGAGATGGAGAGGGGCGGCGCCAACATGTGAGGGGGAAGGCTATTAGGGGTTTTATGACAAAGGTTTCCTTTAAAATTAAGCACAATATGAGCTTTTACATGCCAACTAACTTAACAAGCTCGAAAATTAAGTCTTTAATTAGATAAATGGTCTTTAATTGAATAAACTCTTTTATTTCATTTATAGTAAACTAATAAATAAACTTATTTATGTCTTTTTTACCAACAAATAATAAACAAGTATTATTTAATTATTTATTCAAGTTGATAAATAATAAATTTATACACAACAAATATATTATTTATTTTTTCCCATTTAATTGTTCTTAAGTGTGTAACCATGTAGGTTATATATGATCAACAAAATGTGATCTGTTTAACTATTTGGTTGATGAAGATCCCACCTTGGTTGTTAGGACGAAGATTGAGATCGAGAACCTCCAACAATGGACGTTTGATTTCATTATGTGATGATGCAAGTATACAAAAAAAAAAAGCAAACGGACAAGCTAAACCGAGTTTACAAATATGAAAGTCGTGAACACGGAACATGAAAGTTGAAAACATGTAATTCCCCAAGAATACAATACTAGAAAGCATATTTTATAAGGATGTTAAAAATAACAAGGTCTCACACGGTTATAATGCAACAACTGATCCTGAAAAATCTAATTAGAATAGAGTATGTGGAGGTAAATCGACAGGAAAGTCTCCATAGGAGGAAGAGCGATTGCTCACTTAAATGACCTTTGGCATGTGCACAACAAAAAACTATAGATGAGACAAACAAAGGAAAAGTAAGTTGTAGTTCGTAGTAAGACATAAACATAGGTACTTATGAGAACTTGTAAAGGGGGGAAACAAAAATTAGGAGTAAATGAAAGAGGGCATCAGGGCAATAAAACAATAGTGGAGTAATCAAAAAACAAACATAAGAACAGGAACCGATATCAACAATAAAGATCAAAAAACCAAAAGACATACACCACGATGAGGCTATCCATCAACACTAATGTTTCACCTCCAAATTATGATATATGAGGTCATATCTTCGGTCAAATCAAACTTTTCCATGTCAAGCATCACACTTCTTTGTTGGACACCCTCTCTACCTTTTAATATCAATAATAATTGTGTCTACTCTTTCTTATTGTAGTTGATGGTAGCTTTCTTATGATGTTCAAACCATCTCAAACATCATTTCCTCGATTTTTTGGTAATTTGTGCAATTCTAATTTCTAAATGAGTTAGTTATAATTGTGTTCGGCATCCCTTCCAACAAAACTCTACTGCAAATCCACATCATACGGCTATAGTTACCTTGTCATTATACAAAATCAATCTTTAAAAAACTAGGGATTTGAAGGTCAACCCAACACATCGAAACAAGTTTTTGACGGATTTCATTTTACTGTAATTAGTCTGGAGAAGGTGATTATAAACATTCCATAGTCACAAACTTACATTAGCTATCCACTTTTTTAATAAAACAAAGCTTGTATGAATTAAGAAAACAATTTTAAGCATTTAATCTATTTGCCTCATTTAAATGAAGGTTCATTAGAGAATAAATGAATAATCTACAACATCTCATCAACTTTCATAATCCCAACACTTTATAAAGATAAAAACTTAATAAAATACCAATTGCAGTACAAAAATGACACCAAAGTACATTAAACCAATAATAAAACTAGGAAGAAATCCATATTTTAATTAAAAACAAACTTAAAATAAAAGCAAGGGCCTCAATCAAACTCTTTGTTGGCTCTCGATATCTTAACACTTAACCTCCTTCAATCCAACACCAAAGTACAAAAATGTGGGGTCAGCAGCACCATCTTTGTAGTAAGCAAACACTATTGTACTATCATCATGCATACCCTCTCCAACAAAACTGCAAAGAATTCATTCATTCATTCATCAAACACAATTAGCTTTCAAGATTTTCTAACACTTTAGGGTTTTTTATATAACAAAAATAATAGACTTACAACTGGAGGTCGCTGAGCTTGGCAAGAAGGTACTTTGTTGCTGCCTCAATGTTCTTCTTGAAGAACTGTTGCTGCTCTTCATCAAGCTTGGGAGTAAGTTTCTTGATGTAGTTCTTGATATATCCAACAAACTGCTTCTTGTCAAATGGGGGTTGCTCCTACACAATGTTTTCATATATTTATTACTCCATATGAACTTCAAATATAATAAAAGCTTTTGGAATGGATTGGTTAACACTTTTTACCTGGAGTCTGAAGGTGTCAACAATGTCAACAACCTTCACTGCTTGATCATCAACGCCCTCATCATCCTCACCTCCTTCAGCAGAAGGGTTTGCACCTATGTTAACATCAACTGCTCCTTGTACCACCCACTGCAAATAGATATACAAAAAAAGACATTGTTAATGATTATGAACATGCTTTGCAATCTCAAAGAATTAGAAAAGAAAAGATGATACAAGAGAATAAGATATACCTTTCCTTCAACTTCCCATAGGATCCCATTCAGGATCTCAGTGTAAGGAAAAGAGTCCGAGAGAAGCTCATCACCTAAATTAGACATGCAATTTTGAATTAGATGTGGAATAGTGGAAAATCAAAAACGTAATAATCATTGGTCCAAAGATATTTGCTTAGGGCTGCTCATGAAAATACTGAAGTTACTTACAGAATACATACAATCATCATATGTTATAGTACATGTCTAGAAAACATCACTTGCAAAGCCGAAAAAAGGCTATGGATTTTTTTGGTAAAAGATATGTCAGTACAGAAAAATTTAAGATATTTTCGAAAGAAAACTATCAACTACAAAGATATACTTTCAGCGATATAACTAAGATTCCAAACTTAGGTATAGTAAATAAATCGACGATGAACATAAACAAATAACCAAAGGTGTTAAATCTAAAAAGAAGGTAATAAAAAATCAAATACAAAATTGAACCTAGAAACCATTGTTCAGATCTAACAGAACTACAAATCCAAACATCAAAGAAGAACCTAACGAATTATTTATCCAACACATATTATGACCAGATCTACGCAAAAACAGAGCGATTAAGCATAATCAAAGACCAAAAAAAACCCTAATTTTACAATCACAACACTGCGTTACTTCAAAAACAACTGATAACCAGAACTTCGTCAATCAATTATAGAACTCGAATCAAACAAAAAACGATGAATAAATAGCTTACCTGTAAGCAAGTCTTGGTAGACCAACATGTTTGCAAGATGCTTCTCGGATCGGTGGAAAAAAGGAGTCGAAAGAGAGAGAGAGAGCACCTTGCGACGGGGGAGAGGGTTTGGGGAGCGGATATACAGCGAGTATATATAGAGCGAGGGTTTGGAGAAGACGATGCAGAACAGGACTCTAGGGGATATTACAAATATAGGTCTTCAGTTTTGCATAATTACCATCTATACCCTTTCTAATTATTTGTCCATATGGTTGGCTTCAAAGCACCCGGTTCTCTCTTTTTATTTCAACTTTTGACTTTTGGGCATCTTTTATTCTTTATACCTTGGCATCTTTTAACAATTTTGATATAAGTTTTTATGCAAATTTTATAAAAATATTTGTAATATCTTTCCATAATATAAAATAAAAGAAATGGATGGGTATTCAAGTTACTAACTACTAACACATATATATTATTGATATTTTAATAGAGCACATATCAAGTTTGTATGTTTTTATAATGTTTTTATTCAGATTATGAGATAAGATTTAATATAAAATTTATAAAAATATTTGTAATATCTTTTCATAATACAAAATAAAATAAAAGGATGGTTGGATTGATATTCAGGTTACTAATTATTAATATACATTATTGATATTTTAATAGAGTTTGTATGTATTTTTATAGTTTTTATATTAACTCCTATTTATAAATCAGGTATAAAATATTTATATAATTTTATTAAGCTAATAAGATATAAATTTTGTTTAGACTTTTATATTGATCATTAAATTAATATATTTTTATTTGAATATCCAATATATATATATATATATATATATATATATATATATATA